CTCCCTGTGATCCTACAGCCCTGTCCATAGGCACCGTACACAGAGAGCAGCTGTAACCCAGGTTATCTTGTGAGCTTGATGTCTTTACACACATGGTGCACACAACTGAGTCCTGTTGAATCTCTCTCTGATCTATCCTTTGTCCTTCCATGGTGGTAGTGGGGCTGGGACCCGTTCTGGGGCTAGGTGATCAATATTTGTGGAAGGAATAATTGTTTTTCTATCTTCACAAATGTGGCCTAGTAGCTTTATAACAATTAACAATTATCCATTAATTTATGACTTAAGGTATCTGCTTCATATGCAATTGAGAGAATTGGACAGTCACGCTTGGAAACCATGCCAGTCTTTATAAGTAACAGCAGAAACCCAGCTCCCTAATAATATCATGTCTATACACTCCAGCCTAATTTTGCTGTTGAAAGAAAAGCTATGCATAGATAGGATGCAGGTTTTGGAATCAATTTAGTAGGCTGTGAGCAGGACTGCTTCCAGAGACAGCCCAGAAGGAAGCGTCAGCTTGCTCCGCAGGTGGGAGGAGAAGAATTATCTTGTGTTAACTTGTTTGCATTTGATGTAGATAAGGCTGGAGAGAGGGCAAGGATCCAGCTGTAGCGTGAAATGTATTTCTAACTCTGTTTCAATGTAAAACATTGAAATTTGTTGATTTCAATGGCTTGATGTAGGAGGCATGCAGACATCATTAAATCCTCAGGCTTTGCCTTACTGACACGGAGACCGAATATTGTTCTGATCACTTGTTCTGTGCTCACCTTTCTGGTCCTGTAGCTGGCTAGCATATGCAGGGCTGAACGTGTGGGAGGGTCTCAAGAATGTCCCTTTTCTTTTTACAGTTATTGATTGGTGTGTGTGTGTGCGTGTGTGTGTGTGTGTGTGTGTGTGTGTGCACGCACACTCGTGGGCACAGGAGGATGTGTCAGATGACAATTTACCAGTTACTTCTCTTCTTCACCGTGTTCAAGGGATTGCACTTATGTCCTCAGAGTTCAGAAAGTGCCCTTACCTGCTGAGCTATCACCTCCATCTGTTTATTTATTTATTTTTTTTGTTTTTTGTTTTTTGTTTTTTCGAGACAGGGTTTCTCTGTGGCTTTGGAGCCTGTCCTGGAACTAGCTCTCTAGACCAGGCTGGTCTCGAACTCACAGAGATCCGCCTACCTCTGCCTCCCGAGTGTTTATTTTTTAATTAATTAATATTCTACTTTAGTTGATTTTAGACTCTGGAAAATGTTTCAAAACTAGTATAGAAAAGTCAGTTGTGGTGGTGCACACCCTTAATCTCAGCATTTGTGAAGCAGAGGCCAGCCTGGTCTACATATCAAGTTTCTGTTCAGCCAGGGCAAACAAACAAACAAACAAAATAGCGTAGAGCTTTTCCATGGTCCCTCTGCCAGATACCAGATACCCCCCCTCTTTTGTTTGTTTGTTTTTAAGGCTAGGTCTTAGTACGTAGCTCTGGCTGTCCTGGAACTCACTATAGGGTTTATTTTTTTTTATCTTTAAATTTTCATTTATTATTTGTGGGGGCAGGGAGGGCTTGCATGCCATGTGTACATGCGTGTGGAGGTCAGAGTACATTTGTGCCGTGGGTTCTCTCTTATTTACGTGTTTCTGGGGATTGAACCCGTTTGTTGCCAGGCCTGTTTGGCAAGCACCTTTACCCAATAAGCCATCTGGTCAGCCCAAGATTTAACCAGTTTTTTTCCTGCTTCAGGACTTACTCTAGCCCTGTATTGGAAGTCGCTGTGTTCCGTAGTCTCCTCTGGTCTTGGCGGCTCTTCCATCTCCTCTTGTGTGTGATGATGTGACAGCTTTGAGGATTGGTCGGGTGTCTCGAGGATGGTTCTCACGCTCTGTCTGTAGTATTTCTCTAGTGGACGGGTGTTATGGGAATATCTGAGGGAATATCACCTAAGTGAAGGCCCTCCTTGTCATACCCTCCCGGAAGAAGGATGTAACGTCCACGAGACATCATTGGTAATACTAACCCTAGCCTTGGGTTAAGACAGCAGCTATGAGGGGCTTTCACTATAAGGAAACTGTTCCATTTTCTAAAGCCTGTCATTTGGAGTCATGTCATGAAGCCCTGCTGTGCTTAAGTGGAGCAGGGGTGTGGTGACGGTGATGATGGTGATGATGATGGTGATGATGGTGATGACGATGATGGTGGTGATGGTGATGGCTATAGCTTGCTGGTGAGCAAGGTTATGTGACATGGTCCAGTTAGGAAGCAGACTCCTCGGCCCAACATCTGTGCCTAGTGGTCCTTTCTGGAAGCCTTTGATACTTGCACAGAATGACAGACAAGTCCCTGAGCTTGTGGTGGTCAAAGCCCGGCTTCCAGTCTTCTAAAGCATGGCTTGCCCTGCTTATCTCCAAATACGGCTGTATCCTAACGCTTGTTTTCATTTTCCCAACTCCTCTGCTTCTCTTCTGACTTCTCCCCTGTCTGTTCTCGCAGGCTTGCTCGCTAGGTCCTTGCTTCTATAGAGACCCTCCAGGTAAACATTCCCTCCACCCTCCCTGCCTGCTGAGGTGGTACCTCTTCCCCTCTCCAGGACAAGATCTTACTAGGCCTAGATCCCATCCTCCTGGCTTTCTCCAAGACCATGCCCCTTTCTCACATTTTCAGCTGTCCCCAGCACTGTCCCCTCTTGTACCCAGTTGATTGACCTACATAGGCTCTCTTTGGCCAGGCCTCAACCACCAGCCAGCACAGAATCTCTCTCTTCATTTTGGCCTTCTTGAAATAGTAGGTTTCACCCTCTCTCTCTCCATTGTCAGCTAGGGCCACCGAGATCACAGGGAGAGATGTTTCACAATGCAGTTTGCCTGCACAGGCCCCCATGGAGAGCCTCTCTAATAGGGAAATGAAACGTCCATCTCTTGGGAAGGGTCCAAGATGATGAACGAGTGCCCGTAAAGACTGCTCCAGAGGATGAAACAGAGTGCAGAACCATCAGAGAGAACTCTCCAGAAAAGCCCCCAGCCTTAGTTGAAGGAGAGGGGTCAAGAAGTGAGGCCGCTCTCCCCATGCCTCACCTCTGGGAGTAGCTTGGAGAAGGTGCAGGAAAGACAGCAAGTCCCTTCCCAAACCTGGAGTCTGAGCCACCTTTCTTGCCCTCCCTCCCCCAGAGCTGTCTACCCAGAGGACAGCCAATTTAATCACAGAGCGTTCAACCTCCAAGATGGTTCTGCCTTCCGCTGACCGAAGCAGCTGGTGTGATTCACCACCCCACAGGCTCAGCCTCACTGCATCTTGCCAAGCTGATGGGGGTGTGAGTGTGCCCTCTCCATCAGTGGAGCAGAAGGAAACTCCCAGCCAGGCCTTGGGGCACTCCTTGGCTCCTTCACTCAGAGACTCTGTCTTCCATACCCCAGTACACAGGAGCTGGCTTCTTTCTTGGATCCTATAGTGACACCGTACCCATAGGCACCTTGGCACAGGCCTGGGCTTTGGAATTTAGCTTGTGTTAGATGGGTTTTCTCGAGGACTGAGTGGCAATTAGTCTTGGCTCTCAGCGGGCTCACCTGTGTTCACAGACCTTGACCAATTCTACATAGAGGGGATTGGGTCTATTTGCCTATGCAGTCAACAACTATTTGTGGAAGTCTTTGAATTCCCATGATAGGGAGTGGGGCTACAATGATGGGCAAAATGCCATGCTTGCTAAGAGTTTGCAGGTGTGTCTGGAATAATAAACCAATAACTTTACATCGGAGACTACCAACAATGAGTGCAAGGAAGAAAAATGCACACATGTACCATGCCATCCATGGCCTTGGGTAGCGTCTCCAGAGGAAGTGACAGTTTAGCCGGGATCTGAAGTACAAGTAGGAATGAGGAGGAGAAAATCTTCCCAGCAGAGAATAAATAGCACGTGGGAAGGCTGAGAGGCTGGCCAGCTGGCTGGAGGGCAGAGAGCAAGGGCAAGTGAGATGAGAAAAGGCTGAGGTGGTAGTGCCATCCCAAGGGCAGTGGAAGGGAAGCCACGGATCAAATTGTATTCGAGAAACTTCTGACCGCAGTTTATATAGGGGGCTGGTGCTCTCGTGGGGTGAAGAAGTTAGCTAGCAGGTAACAGGTGCCCAAAGGGGTATGAGGGCAGGGGCATGTTCCAGTTGCTTGCCCTTGTCTTCCCTGTCCAGAGATGGCCCGTCTTATGTGGGCAATGTTCGCGCGGCAGCAGACAATCCCATGGAAGACCCAGGTGTGGTGGGGGTTTGATAGTTAGGTTGGCGCCAGTGTCGGTCTTTGGTAAGGAATCAGGACCTGGTGTGTTGAAGGGGGCTGAAGAGACCGCCTTTAGCCAAGCTTAAGGAAGCCTCTTAAATTTTGCTAACCCGTTATGTCAGAGATGTGCAAGTCTTTCTTTACCCAGGGAAGAGTCAAGGCAGCAGCTTTGGACTGTAGGAACCTCCCTGCTATGTTAGCCTCCAGGATTTTAACAGGGTTGTTACAGTAGGCAGAAGACGAAGGTGGGCTTTTAAGGGGGAAGGGGGAGCAAGACTTGTTCCTACCGTCTCAAACTCTGGGGACCTGAGCTCTAATCTGAGTATGTGACCTTGGTCATATCATTTACCCCTTCTGAGGGGCTTGGGTTCCCCCATCTGCAAACTAGAGGTGGCCAAAAAAGTCCCTGCCAGCTGCCACTTCAAGTCCAGCAGGCGGGACATCCCGCCCGAGGCGCAGCGCCAAGCCTGGCAGGGCGCGCGGGTGCGGGGTCGACCCAGGAGAGGAGGGGGCTGCGGAAAGAAGCGGCGACTGCGCGGCAGCGCGCGCACGGCGGTGGGGGCCGGGAGGGGGGCGCTGCACGCGTTGCCGCGCCCCCGGCTCCAGGCGGGCGGTGGCGGCGGCGGCAGCCCGGGGGCCACGAGGTTACGTAAGGAGCGGGCGGGAGGCACCGGCGGCTCCGCCCGAGCGCGGCCGCCCAGCCCCCGGCCGCCCAGCCCCCGCCCTCCCGGCCGCCTGCGCCTGGCGGCGGCCCGGATACCGACAGAAGAGCCGCACAGCCGGCCGAATGGAGCGACGCCGGGGCTGAGCCGGGCGCACTCGGGCCGCCGCATGTGCCGCGCGGGGAGCAGCTGCCGAGCGGCCGGAGAGCGAACGCCAGGGGCCCCGTCGGAGCGGCCGCAGGAGCAGCGCCGGAGATGGGGTGAGTGAGCTCGCGGGGAGCCCGCGAGGGGCTCCGGGCCGTCGGTGGCGTGCTGCGGCGGGAGCTCGGGGGTGTCCCCCGGGCTGGGCGCGGACTTTGCGCCGGGAACCCACGGACCTTCCCCTCTCAGCCAGCCCGGCGCGGGGACACCTGGCGGGGACCCGCAACCGGGCTGGGCTCGGCGCTTCAGCCATTCTGTGGTCTCCTTGCCCCTGGCGCTACCAACTCCAGGGCCTGGGTCTGGGACTGTGAAAAGCAGCTTGCGGTCTTCACGGCTGCATTTAATGCCAGCGACAGGGAAATCGAAGTTTTCCTGGAAAGGAAACACACCCAATAATAACCCTTCGGCGTAGGGAGAGTGGACTTGCAGGCAGCACTGAGATGGCTGAGGATGGTGAAAATCTCTAAGGAACCTAGGTGAGGCTCCAGATGTTTGGGAGGGAAGTTGGACTACTCGGTTGAAGTGACTAATGTTTCTGAGCATATAAAGTAATTTTAAAAGCACGATTGATTTCTCTTCGGCGTCTCTCCGAGCAGCAGGCGCTGTGAGTCAGGAGCCACGGTGCTAATAACACAGTAACTGCTTACCTCTGCTCACCGATGTGAGCGCACGCTCACGTTGTTTCTCCGTGCAGGGAATGATTAGCGTGCTTGCTCTCCACCTGAGGAAACTGAGGCCCGAGTAGTTGGGCGACTTCTTCCAGCTTGCACAGCTGTTGGCTTTGTAAAAGGGGAGAAACTAGTGCGTGGTGGTTGTTCATCGGCAGAGGCCAGGCCACGCTGCCTGACAGGGGCCATGAGGATGGCTGAGTGAACCAGAGGTCTTGAATCTCTGTCCCCTGCTGCTGGGCACAGAGTTCTTCAAACAGCCCTTCGTGGGACCCAGTTGCTTCTGCTGTATAGGTCTAGAGAACTTGCTTCCTTTTGGGGATGGGAAGGCATGGGTACAGTGGAAAGAGGCAAGATTGCCCTGGTGGCCTGACCAGTCCCTATAGGTCAGCGGCTTTCCAATGCCTTGCTCCAGGCAAGTCTCTGGAGTCGCTATCTCCAGGGGCAGGTAGAGTTTCGGAGGGAGTGGGGGCAAGCAAGAGAGAGCTTGACTGTAGCCGACAGGAACACGGGGGACCGAGAGGCCCAGCGGAACTTTGCTTAGGAATATTGATGCCTATCCAAGAGATTTAACGTGTTGAGCAACTGGGGTGGGTGTGGGGGGCGGTGATAGACAGAGTCTACCCTAGCTGGGAGGCAGGTTTTTGTAACATTTTTCAGCCGTCTCTCAGCAGATATGAAAGAGCTGATCTCTGAGCAGTGGGGAACCTTTGAGGCTCTCAGATTTCATACTTAAAAACTAAATCTTTGGGGGGGGGGAGTTAGCAATGTAGGTCTCAAGATGGAAGATAAAAGGACCTGGTAATTTTAACTCTTCTCCCGCCCCTCCCCCTCAGATGACAAAAAAACCCATCCGAGCACACTTGCATATCAAAAACAAACATTGAAACTCTGTGGTTAAAAATATGTCTGTGGAAATGAAAATGTTTACTCACAAAAGCTTAAAGAAAATACCAGAAAATTTATTTTTGTGTGTGTGTTGTTTTTGGAAAAAACAGGGAGGAGTAGCTTGGGCATTTTGTTTAAACACCGAACATGTCTTTCATGTAATTTTAACATCACTCAATAAATATGTATTACTCATCCTTGTAGCTAATAGCTGATGTGTAGCTCTTACCTCTCCCTGCCATTTTAAAATATATTTTCCTCTGTAGTTTATGAGACTGTACAAGCCATAATGGTAAATTGAGATGGCGCTAAAGGCTGGATAAAGGGTTCAGACAGAGGAGGTGGATGGAGGGAGCCATTTTAATAAAAAAAACCAGGACTACTGCCATCCTTTCTGAGAGTTGTGTGGGATGGAAAGGAAGAGCCAATAAGAGCAGCCTGTAGCAGACCTGACTGGTCCTTGTCAGAGCCTTGTTGGGGCTCTATAGGAGAGACCTGGCAAAGACAGAAGGAAACCAGAAAACCAGCCCACCACCCAACTTCACTTTCTCCTCTGAGGCTGCATTTCCCCTCAGGTGTCTACCGCCCTTTGGCGTCTGTGAAGGGTTTATCTGATTCTCCAGGGTTGGTGCTAGCATTCCCTGAGGCGACTACTTTGTACAGGCTCCTTACCAACATCCGCTTCCTTCTGTACGCCTTGTCTCCCCTTTCACAGAGTAGCAGTCACAGACCAAGGCTATAGACCTCCGTCTTCCTGCCTGGCCAACAGCAAGAAACAGCCAGGCTTCTCCTGCCTGTTTTTCTTGCTGTCCAGCGGCTCTCTACTGGTGTAGACTCCGCCCGTCCCCTTCCACCTTCCGAGGACTGCCTTCTTAATGTCTCCCAGCATCAGTATAGGAGTGTGGTCCAGTTCAGCACTGTCCGATAGAACTCTCTGCAGTGCTGGGAATGTGCTAATCTCTATGGTCAGTTACGGCCTCCATCAGCCACTTGAGGCTCCTGGGCACTTGAGATACGCCTAGTGTGTTTCAGGGCCTGGCTTTACATAGCCGCATGGAGCTAGCAGCTGCCATAATGGGCAGCACAGTTTGGCCTTACTCTCCATCCCTGTCCCATCCCCATCCTGCATACCCATCCTGCTTCTGTTCTACTTCCTTGTCCTTCTGAGGATATAGATCGGGCAAACCCTTAGTCTCCGTTCATTTTCCCTTCCTACTGTTTGCTTGACTTCCTGGCTTCTGCCTCTACCTCAGCATAGACCCTGCCCTGTCTCTTCCCACCCCTCACCCCCTTGAATCAGCTCCCTCCCAGCTCCTCTGAGGCCACACCCTCACACCCTGTCTTTGCTCTCCCTCCTTTGTGAGATGCTGAGAAGCTTGTCCTGGTTCCTGACTGCCGATCCTCTCTTCCCTGGTCTTCTTATCCGATCTCTCGGTTTACCCTCACTGCCCATATGACTTGAAGTATGACTGCCTGTCTGCCGTCAGCCCTACATTTTATTTCCACCACAGGCCTTTCTCGGTGCTTCTAATTCATCCATCCTTGGAGGCCTTGCCGTTGCCTCGAGTTCCTAGTTTCCCTTGGTCCTCCCGCCGCAATCGGTGGCCCCATTGCCTTTCTGATAATTTGCTGTCACCCTTGGTTCACCCCATCCCATATCCTGTGAGTTCTACTTCCCAGGTTCATCTGGAGCATGCCCACTCTCCAGTAACCATAGCGCTAACTCTTGTCCTGGCTACCACTGCCTCCTTCTTGGATGGATAAGCTTTTCAGCCCACCACCATCTTCTGCACTGGGTTACTGTCAATCCATTCTTTGCCTGGGAGCTGAGGGACAGCTTTTAAGATTGCAAATCAGATCTTTTCACTCTCTTGTCTAAACACCCTCCAGCAGAGAAAGGCGGGGCGGGGGGGGGCTCTGCCTTATCTCCAGCGTCACCAGTCACTCCTGGGGCCACTTCATACATTCTAAAGATTCGTGGCCCCCTTTGGGGAGAACCCCTCCATCCTTCTCCTCCCAGTCTCCCCGAGGACCTCTTTCTTTCTTAACCTCCCCTCAGCATCAGTGTAAGAGCTCAACATTGTCCTGGAGGACTCTCGCAGTGCTGGGAATGTGGGTACCTGAAATCCCCCCACACTGGCTTCGCAGTCATCCTCTCCCTTCCTTCACTCTTGGACCCAGGATGAGCATTTTCAGCCATCACAACCAGAACGCTGGTTTTCATAACTCACACAGTCCCACCTGTGTAGCCCACAGTGCCTTGCCAGAGCACACCTGTCGTCATTCAGGTTTTGTTGACTTATTTGTACCCCATCATCCTCCAATCATTTTTCAATGGTAGGTGTAGCGAGTTGCGTGGTGTCACACCTGATGGAGTTGTATAATCAACTCCTATGGCTATAGTCTGACCTATGCTATGATCACACAATGATCACCAGCTGCCTGCATATGCGTGAACCCATGGGCAGTGCCCACCTGGCAGTTCGGGGTTGGCAGCCCATGCCTACTTAAGGGCTGGGAGAGGTTTGCCCAGAGAGAGGTTTGCCCGAGGAGAGAGGTCAAAGAGAGAGGGGAAGAGAGAGAGAAGTGTACAAAATCCTGGAATAAAACTGCAGTGAGAAGAGCGTCATCCTTGCGGGTCGAGGCAGGACGCGACAGGTAGGACTTATCTTTTCACCATTGCACCCCAACGTGTGTACAGTGACTGACCTCGCAGGCCTGCCATAAATACTTTACGGTCGATTTACCGTTTGTACGGTGGGAGCCTTGCTTGGATGCCAGCCTGAAAGTTATGATGCTCTTTTTGGATCGCCTTCTATATTTTCTTGAGTGGGGAGTCACAGGACCAAGAGAGAAAGGGATCCCATTTGGATCCAGTTTTGTTTTAATGTCCAAGCAGGCATTCTGCTTTTATTATGATGCAGGTTCATTTTAGGCTGTGTGTTGGCACCCAAGCACTAGAGCTATGAATTAGCTTCTTTACTGTTTATAAGAGGCCAGCAGAAAAGGCCGCTTTTGATGGAGGAAGGTCATTGGCTAATAAAGGAACTGCCCTGGCCCATTTTATTGGTTAGAGGATAGGTGGGAGGAGTAAACAGAACAGAACGCTGGGAGGAAGAGGAAGTGAGCTCAGACTCGACCGCTGTCCTCTCGGGAGCAGACGTCATGCCCCGCTCCCAGCATGAAGCTCCGACCCAGGATGGACATAGGCTAGAATCTCCCCGGTAAGCGCACCTTGGGGTGCTACACACAGATGATTAGAAATGGGCTAAATTAATATGTGAGAATTAGCCTAGAAGAGAATGGGCCAAGCAGTGATTAAAAGAATACAGTGTCCGTGTAATTATTTCGGGGCATAAGCTAGCCGGGCAGGCGGCTGGGGTGTTGGGGACGCAGCCTCGCCGCCGCCCTTATTACTTCATATGGCGCCCCACGTGATGGACTAAACCCACTTAAAAAACCTGAGAAGGCTTAAAAATAAGGGAAAGAGAGTTTAACACAGA